GGTCTCTGAGTGATTTCTTCAAGTAAAACCTGGTTTCCCACAGAAAAGTGCCTGGCTTGCCTGATAATTATTCTGTTGTGGAAAGGGCTTTTGCATTCATGATGCTCTTGTGGATTATTTCTGCCAAATGTTTCGTTGCTCTGAGCGCTTCCTGGAGGCACCACAGCCATTGGAGGACTCTGACCTCAGAGGAATGCCAGGCAGGGTTTGATGCAAACAATCCATGCTGTGCATGGGCCAGATGGTTCCACACAACAAGCACTGTTATTTCATTCACAAAAAGACAGAAATAATTTGATTTTGCCATTTTAGCCCCAACAAACGGAAAAGTGAACAGCCCTATCTTGACGAGCAGGTCCATGTTGATGAAACTCATTTTTTGCAAATAGATGAACATAGGTGCAAATGAGAATTCTCAGAGTAATTGCTGCTTCGCTGAGGTTGACTCAGAATTAAAACCCAGAAGGGCAAAGCTCCAAGTCCACATATGTTTTCCAGACTCTTGGAAACTCTTGCATTTTGTTGTTGTCCTTAGCCTCTGCTATCCCTAACTTCCTCCTGAAGTTATTGAAGAACGAGGTATTTGGATGATTAGAATGTGATCTAGCTGGCTCTGATTTAAAGGCGTATGTCTGTTTTTACACCCAACCAAGTCGGATCAAAAAAGAAACTGTGTGGGTGTTGGCACTGGGGCTCAGGATGCCTAGCTCTAGAGTTCGAGAAAAAGCATTGGACTGGGGTTTAGGAGACCTAAGTCCTTGCCTCTTTTTTGGGATGACCCAAGGGTCACTCTTCATCACTGTCTGGGTTTCAGATTCCTCATTTATAGTCTCTCCTAGTCTGAAATCTCGATGGTGTAAGGAACTTAGTAAACATCTGGTTCTGTTGGGTGTCATTAAACACAATGCAATGGTTAATTTTGTGTGTCGGCTGGCTAGGCCATGGTGCCCAAGTGTTTGGTCAAACACTAGTCTAGACGTTGTTGGGAGGGTACTTTGTAGACATGGTTAACACAATCAGTTGACTTTAAATAAGACAGATTACTCTCCATGATGTGGGTGGACCTCATTTAATCTCTTGGAGGTCTTAAAGGCAAAGACCAAGGTTTCCTGGAGAAGAAGGAATTCTTCTATGTTACAAGACTGTAACATAGAAATGCTGCCCGAGTTGAGATCCTGTTGGCCTGCCCTACATATTTCGCACTCAAGCCTGCAGTACTAGCTCTTGCTTGAATTTCCAGCCTGCTGGCTTTCTCTACAGATTCCAGTGTTGCCAACCCCTACAATTGCATGAGCCAGTTTCTGAAAATAAATCTCTCTTTCTTCTCTCTCTCTCTCTCTCTCTCATTATATACATAGTACTTGCTGGACCATTTGCCCTGACTTACTTTGCACTTGACCTCCCTACCTGACCTTCTCAGGTTCTGACTTATTTTTTTACACGTGAACTTGCCTCACCCATCACCTCTACATGTCTAGCTTCAACCCGTGTTTTTCTCTCAGATGACTATAATTTAAATGTTTCTTTTGGCATAGCTAGTGTTTATTTCCCTGAGTCAAACTTCCTCTGATCTGCCCCCAATCTTGAGACCTCATCAATTGACCCTGAGGGACCTGGACGCATATGACTGAGCTCAGATATACGACTGTCCACACACTCAGAGCCTCCAGGGCTTCTGCCTTTTGTGCTTCACTGGCGTATAGCATTCTTGCCCTACATACTTCCTCAGAAATCACATTTTTTGCACGGTGCTTCCATACTTTTACAAAGGGTTAAAAAGCATCCGGATGCATCTCCATCTCCTGGGTGATGTATTTCTTATTCATGTCACAGGAGATATGTGGTTATAGGAGTACATGTTTGTTAATTAAAAGGGAGTGTGTATAATTATTTTTCACTTAGTCACAAGGGACATTCTAAAGAGTAAGTATGGTTGTATGTGTGTATGTGCATGTGTAAAATTATTTTGCAGCAAATGTTTGCAAAGCTCTTAGAGATCCATGGAGGGAGGTTGCTTGGGCAATGCCAAGAATTATTAGAAATACAGATTTTGCTAACCTACTCTAGAAGACTCTTGTCATATAACAAGCGTTTCCCTTAATAAGGGGCACCTCACAGGAAGTTCAGGGAGTATTGTGACTTCAGTGCACTGCCCATCTGTCAAGGTCTGAAGAATCCTATATATGGTCTTCCTGTCTGCTGTGTGTTGAGGACAGTTAGATATTTTGCTCTTCCTCGTACTCTAGTGGAATTAGGCTGTGTTCGTGTTATATAACACCACCGTCTCACTCTGTAATGAGCAACATCTAAGGAGGAGGCAGCAGGGAGAACAAAGCCACCTGCCCTTTGCCAACCCCTCCGTGCTCTGCCAGTGCACCTGCAGGGAACTCTGAGGGCTTGTCCTGGAAGAGAGACTGCTTATTATGTTTCATTGTGTAGATGACACAGAGCCTTTCCAGGACAGGCCGTACTAAAAAATCTCTGCTTTGTTTCTTGGCCAGGTTTTATCCAAGGTCTCCTAGGGATGAGGGATGATTAAACAGCTGCCTTGCTGAACCCCTGCCTTTCACATTCACCTGCTTTGAGAAATTCGATCACTCAGAGACATGAAACATTCAAAGGAAGCTCCCAGTGATCAGTGATTCAATAGGTTCAGGGCTAAACTGGGAAAGCGTCACATGTTGGTTACGCCTCAGTAGCACTTGTCCACAGTTCAAGTCTGACCCATTGGTGTGCAAAGTCAGACTGAAGTTTTGTTATTCCTCTTAAACATAAGATAAGCATCACTTTCTAGCCCACTCCCTGCCACTGCTGGGGTGGGAGGTTATCAGTTAGGGCCCTTTCTGTTGAGACAGAAACACGGTTCAAATTGGTTTAAGTGAAAAAGGAAATGTATTTGATCAACTAACCAAAAAGTCCAAGGCTGGGCTGGCTTCCTGGCTCAAATTAGGTCAACAGGACTTGGTTTCTCTCCATCTCTAGGCTCTGCCTTCTGTTTGATTGGCTTATTTTCAGCGGTCATGTGGTGGGCCCCAGCAGTTCCAGACTCCCCCTTGTGGTGGCAAGGTGGCGCGATAGTTCTAGCCTCCACAATATAAAGCTGGGGTCAGTAAACTTTTCCTGTGAAGGTGCCAAATAGGAAATACTTTAGGTATTGTAGGCCATATAGTTTCAGTTGCAGATACTCAACACTGCTGTTAGTGTGTGGAAGCAGCCTTAGACGATATGTAAATAAATGAGCGTGGCTATGTTCCAATAAAATTTTATTTAAAAAACAGGCAATGGGCTGGATTTGGCTTGAAAGCTACATAGGTTGTAGATCCCTGGAACTACAGAGCGGTTATTGGAAAAATGGCTGCTCAGGAGGGGAGCTAATTGAGTATGGCCACATGACTGAGTTCTAGCCAATAGAAGTTATGTGGAGCATTTCTGGGTCGAACCTTTCAATAAGCAGGTGTGCCCCTTTACTGTCTCTTTACCTTCTGAGACTGGTTGCATATGATGAGGAAGTTCTAGGAGGGGCAGAGCCACAGGACAAAAGAATCTGATTCCTGAATCCCTGGCACTGTGTGCCAGGGAGTTACCCAACAAACAGGAACAATTGCCTCAGACTGTTGTGTGAGTGGAAATACATTTCTGTTGTGCTCAAGTCATTATACATTTTGGGTCTATTTTTAATAGCAGTTTACCTGCCTTAAGTAATACAGAAATTAGTGTCAGAGAGGGAGTGCTAATGTAAGAAACACCTAAAACAGGTGGCATTTACTTAGTAGTTGTGCCATGAGAAATAAGACAATAGAGCAGGCTGCAAAAATGGGCACCCATGTTATGCAGTGGCAAAATACTTGTTAAAACTGTCGCCCACAGTCATTTGGAAGGCAGACCAAGATGGGCCCGTAGCTCTAGGGGGAGCCATTAGAAAGAGACAGAGTGTTAGCGCATGTTAGAGTTGAGCTCCTTTCTACTTACAACAAGTTGCGCTGCTAGAAAAATGTGGTCCCTGGCAATAATTGACCAGTTTATAAGCAGAAATAAAAGAAAAGGAAGACAGCCCTCAAATCTGGAAAAGTGTATTGATTCTAGATCCCAAATGGAAAGAAATAAGACTAAAGAAAAAAAAAATCCTAGACTTAGGACAAAAACTCATTAAGAATTCTCAGTTAAATATGGGGCACCTGGGTGGCTCAGTCAGTTAAGTGTCTGACTCTTGGTTTTGGCTTAGGCCTTGATCTTGTGGTTCATAGGATTGAGCTCCATGTCGGGCTGGTGCTGTGGCATGGAGACTGCTTGGGATTCTCTCTCTCCCTCCCTCCCTCCCTCCTTCCCTCTCTCTCTCTCTCTCTCTCTCTCAAAAATAAATAAGCTTGAAAAAAAAAGTTAAAAAAAAAAAAAAAGAATTCTCCGTTAAATGTAGCAGCTCAGCCCCTGTAGCAAAACTCAGATTAAGGGTGTAGCCTTTCCACCCGAGTCTATCATTCAGATGACCTCAAGGTAGCTGCCATTAAGTTGAGAGAAAGCTATGGACAGGAGGAAAAAAATAATTTAGGCTTCAGAATTATATCCAGGAAAAAATTTGGGGTGTGGTTACTGGCACTTGGAACCCACTGGAAGCAAATAAATCAGAAGATTACTAAGTTTTGTAGGGAATTGTATTACTAAGGAGTCACAAGCTGGGATGAAATCATCTTTGATTGGTCAAGCTTGCCCTTTGTTCCTAGATTTGCCTGAGAAGAGAGTGGGCTAGGAAGGCTGTACAGTCTTTCAGGAGTATACTTTGGAAGTGGCCCAAAAGGATAATGGACAAGGAAGGATATCCAAAAGGATGGAGCAAGGGGCCTTAGAGAAAAATAGATAATGAAACCCTCCCAGAGAGCAGATTAAAGGACTAAGCAAGGCGTTTATCCCCTCTTACCTGGCAAAGGGCCTTCACACTGCCCACCTAGCAAGATTCCATTGTGCTATTAACCAAGGACTCTTTCCCATTCTCCCTTTTTCTGAATGAGAGTTTTATTGCAGTTCTCAAGTCCCTGTTCCTCCATGGCATAGCAGATGTGGATTGGAGGAGCAAATAACTGGGTCTTTTAGTTAATAATTGTTGGACCATCAGGAGCCACATGTAGATCTGATTGAGGAGACGTTGTGTTCTCCAGAGTCCCAGAATTTCAAGTGGTTGTAGAGACTGAACGGAGCTCTGGGTTATTTTCCTTAAGGAGGACGTGGGTGTAGGCTCTCTGTGCGGGATGAAGGGTGAAAATGGACAGTTGTGTCTGGAAGGGAAGACTGATAGATTGACAGCTATTTGCTAAAAATCTGTTTCCTCTTCTTCTTGAATGCACAGCTAGGCCACAATTCCCAGGCTACATGTGCAGTTGGATGTGTCTATATGAGCGAGTTCTAGCCAACAGAATGTGAGTGGAAGTGATACAGGCCATTTCCAGGTCAAGAAGGTTGTGTGTCCCCACCTTACTTCCTCCCCCTTCTTTTGGCTGGACATACATAATGATGAGGTCCTGGACCCTTGGGGATAGTACAGCCACAAGCTGGAAGGCGCCTGAGTTTCTGAATCATCACATGGAAAAGAGCTGTCTTCAAACTGTTGAGTAAGTAAAAAATAAACTATTGTTTTTGAACAGTTATAAGTGTACTTGTTACCGCAGCTTAGCCTACTTCATTAATACAAGAAGGAACATGGTCTCTCTCTCTCTCTCTCTCTTTCTCTCTGTCTGCTTAACCCTTTCTCTCTCACTTAAGTCTGGTTGTCATTGCTCTGCCTTATGTATCCCAGATGTTAACAGGCATTTCGTTTTTCCTTGAGTTCTATATGAAACTAGAATAAACTCTCAATTCCTCCTTCTGTGGGTATCCAAAGCCTTTTCCACAGTGTCTCTGAATTCCCAACGGATCTTATGGATTCCTTTCCTTCTTGAGTTCTTCAGCTCATGTGGTCTCTGTTCTGTTCCACAGTGACCAGACGTGAAACTCAGACCCTTTTCTGACTCACACACACATACACATCACACACACCCCTCACACCAATTATTTATGGGCATGAAAGTTTGTGCCGAGGATGACAAGGAAGAAATGGAGGAAGAGCTCACAACCACGGTTGTGCAAACTTTAAATGGAATGTAGGTGTTGCCATTTTTAAGTCACCCGCTGGTTCGCTTTACCCACTCTGAACTTATCTCCTTAGTTTCCACTCTTCTCTCTCTCTTTTTCTCCTTCCTCTTTTCTTGTAACAGGAACCAGACAAAATCTCTTGGAGATGGACAGATGAACAATCTGGCACTCTGGAAATACTAATAAGGAGATGTCTTTTTTTTTTTTTTTTTTTTGAGGGGGAGAGGGGGAGAGAGAGAGAGAGAGAGAGAGAGAGAGAGAGAGAGAGAGAGAGAATCTCAAGCAGGCTCTATACCCAGCATAGAGATCAGTATATAAAGTGTGGATTGTGTTCCAAAAAGATCAAAAGCCACACCAAAGTCCAAACCAGACAATGACCTTCACTCCTAACTCCTGGCCCACAGGTTTGATGCAGGTCCTGAGGACATTTATCTCAGAGGGTCTCATTTCCTCTCTGACTGTTCCTGCCATCTTGACAGATCTTCTTAGCTGACCTGTGGTTTTGTATGTGGTTCTTGCTCCCCACTCATTCAGATCTAAGACTTTGTTCCTCTCAGTTCCATGCTCAGGCCCAGCCCTGGGAAGTCCAGCCTGGTCAGACTCCCAGAAAGGGAAAGTTGGATGAATGACAGCAGCCTGGGTCAGCCCTCCGTTGCCCACTTACCAGTAGCTATAACTTCTTTGGTTTCTCAGCCCCCTGTGATCTTGGCAGACGGTTGGTTGAAGTCTCTAGTCTGAAGAAGCAGGGCTTCAAATTAGTTGTACTCTTCAGGGTCCAGTATCCTAATTTCAGGGCCTCACTTGCTCTCTGAACTGTGGCCCAGCACTACCTATGCCTAATTGGAACCACTGGGGTATTTGCTTAAGTTTTTTGATCTATACTCTCTGTGCTGGGGTTCTGCATGCTGCCCAGATCTTTTTTTTTTTTTTATAACGTTTATTTATTTTTTTGGGACAGAGAGAGACAGAGCATGAACGGGGGAGGGGCAGAGAGAGAGGGAGACACAGAATCAGAAACAGGCTCCAGGCTCTGAGCCATCAGCCCAGAGCCCGACGCGGGGCTCGAACTCACGGACCGCGAGATCGTGACCTGGCTGAAGTCAGACGCTTAACCGACTGTGCCACCCAGGCGCCCCGAATGCTGCCTAGATCTTGTAAGCCTAGTTGTCCTTGGAACTGGACAATATCCCTGAAGGACAATATCCCCCTCTTATTGGTGGGCCCTGGTTGGTTCCTTTGTCTAAATAAGCTGATCACCCGGAAGCAAAACCCTGCTGCCTGCCTGTCTTCCAGTGTCCCCTTCTTGACATTGCCCAAGGAGGTCACTTAGAAGCCAGCTGAAGACAATAACTTTCTACATCCTGATCTTCAATTTCTTTCTGCTTCCTGATCTTCAATTTAGTCTTGATGTCTTTCTTGGAATCTGTGACCTTAGTTCTTTTACTTCCTCTCTCTTTTGAACTGACCAAGCCTTAGAGAGGCATCCGCAACTCCCTCTAACTCCACACTGTGTTGCCAGATTTGCAAATAAGAATACAGGGTACCCTGTTAAAATATAAACATCAGATAAACAATAAATACTATCTGCAAGTCCCATGCAATATTTGGGACTTACTGACACTACAGATTTATCCATAGTTTATCTAAACTTCAAATCTAGGTGTGCATCTTATATTTTATTTGGCAATCTTACATCTACAGTTCCTTATAGAAGAAACGGTCTTAAGCTCTTCCTTAAGCATACATAGGTGGTCCTATGCCACAGGATTCCACCCCCCTCCCACCCCCCCCACCCCCACCCCAAGCCAGAGCTGATTGGATCAGGGGTGAGCACTTGTCCTAAAGGCAGCCAGTCCGCTGGCTAGCCCACAGGCTATAAGATAGCCTAATATATAAAAGTTTTGCACAAGTGGGTTAATAGTGATCAAGTGACCTAACCAGATGCTGTCTCTCAGGGCTCTGAGCTCAGTGAGAGAAGGTGAGTCAGTTGGTAGGAGGAACACCCCCACACCTACTTCCCATGTCTTACTACCATGCGAATCTCCAGATACTGAAGCCTGCCGGAATCAGCGTAGAAATTTGGGCCCTGTACCTTTTGCTGCTGTCTGCCCCTCTGAAATCTCAGTTTTGGCATCTTCCTGTCCCCATCGTCCCAGTGCCTAGCTCAGGACCTGCACATGCCTGGAGATGAATGGATACATGCATGTGCTCTCTTTTGGGTTGAGGTGGTTGTGTGTGAGGGGTTAGAAGCCCTGCCTATGGCTTCTGGCCTTGCATCCTCTGCTCATCTAACCTTGGGCATGTTACTCAAATTCCCTAAGCCTCCATTTTCTCCTCTGTAAAATGAGGGTGGTATTATTTGCCTGTTGTGAGGTTTAAAATAGCAGATGTGTGAAAGCCTACACATAACAAGCCCTCTAAAACATTTAGTGCATCTAAGTAGAAGGAAGTTTTTTACGGGAGAGTCGCACTTGGCAAGACCTCTTGTAAGTAAAAAATAAACAAACCTCATGATCCAAGGCTCCTCCTAACAAAGGATGGCAGCCTTTTATGTTGGCCAGCTGGCAAGAGAATAAGCAGAGTTTCTAATTCACTGGCTTTCAGGTTAAAACCTTTGCAATTTTGAACAAAGTCTTAATTTTAGAGTATTTGTATATGCAGCCTTTCAAAAATGAGTCTTTATTATCACTTTTACATTACACATTTTAGATCTATCCCAATCACACTCGTTTAAAATTCTCTGCACTCCACGATTGGAGAGAGGGGAAAATGAAAAATGCACTTTGTGATGCAAAACGGATCATTCTTCATGTTTCTGCACAGCTGCATGTCCCCACATCGCATTAGCCTCTAGATCTGCTCGGCATTCACTCTGGAATTTTTTAAATGTCATAACAGCATGCTTTCAAAATAATATGCTCGCGCACCCCCATCCCCAAGCGTGTAATATTGTCAGGATGTTTTATCTGGTGCCGTATATCTTGCACATGACGGATCCATTTCCCCAAACAAACCATCACACATGTCCACACTGTCTATAAATTTTGAATCTTGACATCTACGCTATTACCCTCTGACGTTTGGATTGGCCTGAGTTGGGCATAATTGGGGGGCGATGTTTTCAAGGAATGAAGGAGATGTCACTCTTTCTTCCTGATGGGTCCCCTCTGGAGAAAGTGATGTCAGGGACACGCAAGACTTAGCCCTGCTGGAGAAAGCTGCAGAGGCTCTCCCCGGGGTACCAGGAGATTAAGCAGGCCCAATCTGTAAGCATCCTCACTCCAGGGGTGATAACAAGGTCATTCTGTACTTAGGTTTGGCTTTACAGTAATACATCTGGCATCGATAGTTTCCTTCTTTCCAAAGTGCTTTCCTATTTATGATCTCATTTTGCTCTCACAGGAGGAGGAAAGGTTGCTGGTTAGAAAGAGAAAACCTGAGTTTCTCCTGCTCTGGGGCTAGGCAGGTCACTTTACTATTCTCATCTGTAAAGGTTCTTCATCCGTAAAGTGGTATCATAATTGCTGTGGGGTGTGTAGGGTTGTATAAGTCCAAATGTCCCTGTGTGTTGAGCAGGAAAGTGCTCTGGGAAATGCAAAAAACTATAGACAGAAATGTGCTATGAGGATAAAAGTCACTTACACAACCTGGAAGGAACCTATGAAGTGACACAGTAAAGAGGTGTTCAGCCTTTGTCTTGTGAAGGCCCTCACGTGAATCGTAGTCAAGAACAGGAAATATTACTCTGGCAGGCTCAAATTTTTGGTCTCTCACTTCCAAAGGCACCTAAATTATAGGTCAAATGTCATTGCTGGTGTTGGCTCTTTTCTTTCTCACTTAAGAAAGCACATCAGAGGGGCGCCTGGGTGGCTCAGTCGGTTGAGTGTCCGACTTCAGCTCAGGTCACGATCTCACGGTCCGTGAGTTCGAGCCCCGCGTCGGGCTCTGGGCTGATGGCCCAGAGCCTGGAGCCTGCTTCCCATTCTGTGTCTCCCTCTCTCTCTGCTCCTCCCCCGTTCATGCTCTGTCTCTCTCTGTCTCAAAAATAAATAAACGTTAAAAAAAAAATTAAAAAGAAAAAAAAGAAAGCACATCAGAATGTAAGCAGGAGAGATATTATTATGAGGGTAACCTTGACTTCATTCAACTTATTTTCCAAAAATACAAACTCAGGATCCTTATATATAGTAAAACCTCGACTCAAATTGACTTAAGCAAAGGATAAAATTTACAGACTTGTGTAATAAAAGAACATCCAGGACCAGAAACTTCAGTTATGGCTGGATCCAGGGACTCAAATGGTTTCATTAGGACTTACACTATCTCTAGGTTCTACTTTCCTTTGCATTGACATTTTCAGAGTCTCTTCATGAGCGATAAATGACTGCTGGCAGCCTTAGTCTTGTATTCTCAAAGTTTAGCAGCCTCTGTGAAAAGAGAGCCTTATTTTCCCAATAGTTCCAGCATAAATGCTAGGATTAAGACTCATTGGAATGACTTGGAAGTGCTGCCTCCTGTTCCTGAATCAGCCCTTAGGTTTGGGTCAGTGGGATGTGTCGACTGGCAGGGACTGTATTTTCTCTCCCCACCTCCATCTTCCATGGAGGTAGGGTCAGCCTTATCTGAACCAAATAGTCTAAGAGTGGGTGTGTGTTATTCCCCAGAGGAAAATTGAGGGGCTGTTACCAGGAACCAGGAGAACAGAGGCTGGGTGGGCGAAACTAACAGATGTTCACTATAGTAAACATGGTACTTAGACCATTATTAAGAAGAACGCACAACTCATATCACAACTGGGTTGTGATTTACCAGTGTGTTAGAAAAGCACGATGGAAACCCTCTATCTAGTTCGTCTCTCTCATTTTCCACATTTTCTTATAGCTTGATAAGTTGGTTTTGGACATAATGAGCTGAAGTTTTATTTGTGATTTTGATACCTCATCAGAGGTTTTTCTTAATGTAAGGAGCCAACCTAAGGGGTCTTCTAACAAGTTTTCCAAGAAACAAAAGACCCTTCCAAAGGTGAGGAAGAGATTCCTAAGGCATGCTTCATATAGATAGCATCCATACTTCTTGCTGTGGGAAAAGAGACCTTATAAAATTTAATACCTTTGATTTCCCAGCTTTGTCGTGACCTAGGGGCAGTAGAAGGAAGTGCAAGTTTTATGACCTGGATTTAGAGACAAGGACATTGAAGTAGAGAGAAGACCAGGTTCCTGTGTCGACTGCATGACTAGCTATATTCCATGGTATGACTTGAGGCACTTCGTAAGGCCTACTCTTTCCGGAAACCTCTAAAACAAGTAGTCTCTGCCACCGATGTGCTTTCTTAATGAGATGTGTGTAGTTTAACTGGATCAAGGCATTACGTTGCTAGGAGGTCAACCCATAATTAATGCTTTTTTAGGTTTCAGTTCAATTCAACAAATAGTTATTGAGGGCTTATTACTTGTATCACTTAGGGCACTTTGGGTTGCAAGTAACAGAAAATCCAGGTCTAATAGTCTAAAAATTAAAAAGAAGTTTTTAACAAGCCCCATGGTAAGGTGGCCTTCAGGTGAGGCTTGATCCTGAGGTTTACCAAAGACGTTTCTTCTCTTTCTCCTCAGACTTCTAGGCTTTCTACTTCACCGTAAGACTGGCTGCCTTATGATCACAAGATGGCTTACAGAATGTTCTGGGAGGTACACACTTCCTTATTTCCATCATTTAGGAGAAAAAACATTTGCTATGC